AAAAAACAAAACAACAGACAAAAAGCATAATCACTTACCAAGTCCTGCCAGGTCTTCTAATTCTTAAGTCAATCTTCTATCTGTCCCCGGTGGCTGCCCTCATCCAGGCTCTCACATCTGGATTATTTTAACAGTCTCTTACTTGTCTCTATTTCTAATTCCTGACTCCTCCATCTCATGTACCATGCTACTACCAGGGAGACACAAATATAATCATGTTGTTCCCCTGCTCAAAATTCTAACAAAATTTTCTATCATCTATCAGGTCGAATTGGGTTCAAAAACATAGACACCTGCAGGGACAGACAGGCAACACAAACCCGTGGCATGGACTGCTGGTAAAAAAATACACACTTGCACTGTGACCTGTCTAGGTATGTTGCATTTTAAAACTCCGTGCACACCAAACAAAATGTCTTTCAGTCATGAAGCCCTCAGGCCACCAGTTGGAATCACCCTTGACCTGCCATATAAATTCTGATTTCCTTGGTATGGCCTACAGACCTTTCCTGATATGGATCTTGTTACCTGTCTAGCCCCATCCCAAACCTTCTCTCCTTGTACTTTATGCATATTAACAAGATTTTACTGGAAAATAATTTGGGGATAAAGAGACTCTATTTCAGTGAGCAGTTTGCAAACTGGGGAGAGTTTGCAAACTGGGGAGATGCAACCTTTGGTACAAAATGAAAGTGTGCTCCTCCAGAACAAAGAGAGGGATTGTCTTACATAGCCAAAGTTCCTACCAAGTTCCCACTCTGGCCCTCCGCTGCAAAAGAGGGATTGGGGCTTGTTCTGTTCTGATTGGTTTGGACCATTATGCAAAAGAGGGATTCTTACTTACTGTGCTCTGGCCAGTTAGCATTTGACAGGTTGCCGTCTGTTGATTAAGTTCAGGTGGCAAAGTCAGTTACTGGTGGCACAGACAGGTAAGGCAGCCCGTGAAAGCTTCAAACAGGGTATGTGTGTAACCTCTAGTCAGCAAATGACACCTTGGCTCCCAGCAGAATTTAAATCCAGTTAGTCACTCAGAACTTTTTGGGGTTTACACACATGAGTAATCCTGAATTACTTGAAGTTCCCTGAATAGGTCATGTCCTCTTGTACCCTTGTGTTTTTGCTTATGCTGTGTTCTTTACATAGAATGCCCTTCTTCTCCTTGATACCCTGGCCAAATCCAGTTTATATTTATTTGACAGTTCAGAGGCTAGCTATACAGGGTTCCCTTAGACTAACATAGTTCTCACTCTCTTGCTCCCAGTCCCAGACCTAACAGTGTCCATATTGCACTGAATTGTTTATTGTATATCTATTTTCTCTAATAGTTTCATAACCTCCTTCAAATCAGGGTCTCCTTCAACTCTTACCATAGTGCCTGGCATAGAGTCTAAAGAGTACAAGAACAAAGAAATGGCATTAGGCAACATGTCAAGTGCTTCCTGAATTTCAGGCACTAACCTAAGCACTTTACATATAATTATTTGCTTTAATCTGTATATCAAGGGTACCAAAATGGGAGGAAGGAGACAAGTCTAGGACGAGTCCCTGTGTAACATATACATGGGCTGTTCCTAAGAGCTCCCTGTTCAGCTGAAAGTCGTTAAAAAATGTCTGCAAGTGTAGCATTTAAGCATCTGGGATGCTCCATCATGACCTATGATTACCTTCATTTGACTATATAGAAATTTATTTATTTATTTATTTTTTCTTTCTTTTTGTTTTTTTTTTTTTAAAAGATGACCGGTAAGGGGATCTCAACCCTTGGCTTGGTGTTGTCAGCACCACGCTCAGCCAGTGAGCAAACCGGCCATCCCTATATAGGATCCGAACCCACGGCCTTGGTGTTATCAGCACCGCACTCTACCAAGTGAGCCACGGGCCAGCTCCTAGAAATTTATTTTATTCCTTAAAAGGTAGTAAAGTTCTTGAGGTGGAGGCTCCTTCCTCTGAACGGCATAAGGTGTTGCAGAGTAATCTGCAGCCATCACAAAGTCAGAGGGTCTTGCATTGTCATTTAAATGCTCTGGCCCACCTCACTCCTGCCTGCAGCCCACTGGCCAGAGCTGATCACATGGCCATGTCTAACTTCCAGGGCATGGGGAAGTGCAGTCCTTCATGTTCTCCAAAGGAGAGGGGAATTAGTATTGGTGAACAATAGAAATACCTTTTACAGTCTGCCTTCGGTTTCCAAATATTTAGTTCTGTCTTCTTAATACATGCAGAACATACTCATCTGCTCCCCAAGGAGACAACCTAAATATCCCACCAAGACAGAGCATTACATTTAACATCTTGGATCTCTGAATGAAGCATAGTAGTTTCTTCATCATGGTATATTAAACTGTAGATTCTATATCAGGTCTGGACGTGGCATCTCTTGATCTCAAGAGCTATGAACTAAAAAAACAAGTGATCTGCTTCATCCTCCCCCTACCCCACTGCTGCCAAATTCACAATGATAGAATAGGGACATGATAATCACAATGACACTCTTATTCAGAAAGGGGAAGAATGGGAGATGTGCAGTAGGTACTGGCCTGTAGAAATTCTGAATCCTGCTGGGTTAACCTTTTGAGGCTTCCTATTTGGCACGGAAATATACGCTCAGCCTTCTGTATCTGTGGGTTCTGTATCCATGGATTCAATCAACCATGCATTGAAAATATAAAAAAATAAATAAGAAATAACCATACAGCAATAATAATAATGAAAAAATTTAAAATACAGTATTACAACTATTTTCATAGCATTTACAGTGTTTTAGGTATTATAAGTAATCTAGAGGTGATTTAAAGTATACGGG